ACATCTAAATATTAATCGGGTGATTTCACCTTCAGTGTTGGCTATCTCATATATTGGTTTTCTTCTAATTTACTGTAGGGTAAAATTCGAATTGTTATGTTTTGAGTGCTTTTCTAATATTCGCACGATTTTTAATCTTTCATTTAAATTCATTGGGTCATGGGTACATTGTATTTATCCATAATTATGAACCTAATAGAAATAAACTTGATCACATGGCCTTCAAGTGTATTTTTTTCGGATATGGAGGAAATAAAAAAGTGGTATCTTTCAATAAAATTCCCTTCAGGGGGTGATAAGAGGAAATTATAATATTGTCTTTTTTGTAATTATCCCTACCTGCTAATGCCACCAACTTTTCTAGATCCAATGACATTGATGTTATCGGAACTCATTATTTACTTGACTGTACAACAACCAATTAAACTTCGTTTTTAAGGAAAAATGTGCAAGGAAGTGAAACCATTATACTTTCTGAAGCTTGTCATGAATTCTGCATGGACTTGATCAATTTATACTGTTTTTCCTTGTGATGGTGTTCATCACTCTCTAATAAATGTGGCGAGATATGACTATTTGCCCTTGAAAAAAAATTGTCTTCAACTTTGTCGAGATTCAAATTTCAAAGAAGATAGAATGCCTTTTTGATTCAAAATGGAGACGAAGTTGAAGAGGTGAAAGCCCTTGGAAGATATAAAATATGAGAAGTTTTTCAAAGTCCCCAGGAGGTCATCTTTGTGAGTTCTGAAATATAAATATGATAGTTTTATCGAGAGATAATTTTATCATTGGTTGCAAAAAGATTCATATAAATTTATTGGATTGATTGATCTAATTTTTTTTTTTTTCTTGTCTTGTGGCAAAACTTAACACCATAAACTTAACACCATTTGATTCGTTCTTTCAATTGCAATCAACCTTAATTGGTCACTTTGCCAATTGGATATTATGAACCCATTCTTAAATGATGAATTTTACAAGAATCCTTTTTTAAGGATCAGTGGCTTTGGGAAGACTGACTTAGCTTGCAAATTGAAAAAAATCGTTTTAATAGTTCGAAAAATCAACTAAAGCTTGGTCGGCAAGGTTGACAAAATTTGTGAGTCATTAATGTTTCAAACAAGGTCTTTCTGATCCCATTTCCTTTTATAAACACGAGGATGATAAATTGATGATATAATTTTGTATGTTAATAATATCATTATTACGAGATATCATGATTTGGAGATAAGGGTCTTGAAAAAAAAATGTATTTTGAAATCAAATTTCTTGGGCATCTCAATTATTTTCTTAGAATTACATTAATAAACAAAGCTAGCCTCACTATTTGTTGATGAATGTATGTTCTTGATCTCTTAAAAGAAACTTGCTTATAAGAAGCAAAGGTTGGCGGGGACACTCTTGTATTTGGCTCATACCGGACTTCCAATAGCTTTGGTGCCTATTTGATGAGTCAGTTCATGCATGCCCTTTACGAAGAACATTTGAATGTTATTACGAGGTTTCTCAAATACCTAGATGGAAGTCTTGAGAGGGGGTTTTTTATTATGATAGGAGAATCCAAAATCTAGAAGTTTGTACCGATGGTGATTGGGCTAGGTCTATAGTGGATATAAGATCTTCAGAACATTGTACCTGTTAACCTGGAGAAGTAAAAGATAAAATGTTATTGCAAGAAGTCATGTTCAAGCAGAACGTACATGACTGGTTAGTGGGATTTATGAAAGATTCTTTTAAGATACTTCTAGAAGAATTTTTGGACACTAACAAAAATTTTATGATATTATATTATGACAATACGATTTTTATCATCACAACACACATTTCTCTCTATTATGATATAGCCAAAAATTATGATATAGCCAAAATTTATGGAGATAGATTGACACTATTAAAGAAAAAAATTCATAGTGAAGGTCTACATCTTTCATATGTTCCCTCATTTGATGAGACTGTAGACAATACTGACCAAAAGATTGGCTAGTCCCTATTTAAAAATTACTTTACAAGCTTTCTTTATTGGAAGGCAAAAATTTATGTGTTGCTTGGATATTGTGATTTTATTTTACATGTTTTAAATAAATAAAGAATGTTGCAATATTTAACTTTTCTTACCTATTGTATGCTTATTTCTTTATTTTTTTCATTGTAAACCTTAATATAATTAGCCAGATTTTAATCATTAAATTACATGGAATTCTACTTTTCTCCTTATTTTCCTTCTTCTATTTTAGAGCTACCTATATTAAGATGATAATATATCACATATAATTTTAATGTTGTGTGCATTAACGTATGCCTGATAGATTGAGCCAACCAAACTTGTTCATTTTTGTGCCTGACTGTATTTTTAGCACATAAAGTTAAATATAACTTTAGCTGATCCATAAGTCGGCTACATAAGGACAACAATGTAACAACTAGATTGGTCACTGCTCAAGCATGCTTTTAATATATTTGTTATGATAATATGCATTGGATGCTACATATATACTTTATGAGATGTTGTCTTTATAAATTCATCTATTTGCCTTTTTCATTTTATCAATCAAGGGGCTTGCGGTTGCTTAAAGATTTTTGTTAGAGCAGCAGTTGCTAATAGCGATAAACTGATGGGCATAAGACGTTGGCCGTCTAGGGCTCTTGCTTCCTTCTTAGTTATGTACGATTATAATATTTCTAACAATTATTGTACAAAATAATTTATTGTTCTAAATTATTCAAATTCGATCAATTGTGAGGGCCGAAGGTCTTTTTAGTAATTCAATATTAAGAAAAAGAAAAATCATAAGTAACACTTCAAAATTTTATTGTAATTTAAAACTCTCTTTGAATATTTAATTCTAGACTCAACTTCTTTTGCACCCATTGAATGGCCCTCATTAAAATAGTGATACATATACTTACACAATTACCAGTTTAAAATTATCCTGAATTCACATTAAAATGAGAGTCTCTTCTTCATTGCACAAACAAAGCATTTGATCAAATTAAATCTCAAAACCCAATAATTACTGTGTTTTATTTAGTTTCAGAGTCCATGGACTATACCAAATTGATCTGAAAGTCCCTCTTGTAAAAATTGTGATACAAAATTGATCCTAATTTAGTCTCTTGATTATACAAAAATGATCTCAATTTATGTAATGTGTTATTTTTTATTAATTCTACTTAAATGAGTGATTAAACCATTTGAGATTAAAATGATCACATTCAAATAATCGGGGTATCATTTTGAAATTTGACATGATTATTTCACTAGTAAACTATGAATACTTCATGTACCACTGAGATCGAAGAGAGTGATCATCATCATTTTTAGTCTGTTTTACGAATTTTAAATCTTTATTTGTTCTTGTTTAGAGCTACAAGAGATATTTATTTATTTATTTATTTTTTTCATAAAGCTCTTTCAATTTCTATCCAAGTTATATTAGATATGCTCTTTCTTCCCATCCCTTCTATGCTCTCAAGCTCATTTTACCTACCGATTTAATGGTTGCATTTTTTACGCTTTGTTGTGTATGTTCAAACCATTAAAATACATTTTTTTAACTATCATATCCTCAATTGTTCCCACTCAAATCATCCTTCTGTCATAGTCCTTCCTCAATTTATGATTTCTAATTTTTTTACACCACCTTAATTTTTTTATTTTCACCATTCTCAATTTAGCTATCAATGTCTTCTGTTGCTTAAGCCTTATATTCATACAAGTAGACTTTCATGTTGTTTGTTGCTAAATAAGCTACGTAACTTACCTAACTGTAGTTTGATGAAGTTTACCTTCAAGTTGCATGATGCCATCTTAGCACATGATATTCATGATAAATCTCTCTAAATTAGCCAGTCAGATTTAGTTCTATTTATTTTATCCTCACCTATAGGTTCATTTTAAGTATTGCAGATCCAAGTTAAAACCTATTTAATTTCCGCACGCACTAAAATGGAACATCTTTCTATGCCACAAAAACTAAGGAGAGTATTTTGGTCAAATATGTTATGAAAGACTGACTGATTTTAGCACCCGGAAATGTGAAATAAATAGAATATTAATAAACCACTGTTCTGGTTTTGTCTATTTCAATGTTGAAGATTGTGTTGAAATGGTATAGGATTTGCTTTACTCTGCAACTGACATCTAACAAAGCAATATTAGTGATGGATTAGCTTTATTATGTTTAGTGGATAAAAAGCAGCTAGCCGTACGTTATTTGTTGTAAGCAATATTTGTGATAGAGAAAATGGTAAGAGGAGCCAAAATGGTGTCAGGTAAAACTCTGAAGCTATCTAGATGGGTTAAACAGGGCAGCATGTGTGGAAAGGTGCTACATTGAACTCCACAATATTAGGACGGGGATTAGCGATTTGTTTTAGAACCTAATCATGTTCCTCGTAGTATATTTCTTTTTTCCTAGGTTTCTAACCTTTTATTTTTGTGGTGGGCATCATATCACTACTATTATTGAACTAAAAGTTCTTACTTCATCCTTTGAAGGTACCAATTTATGTCACATTTAGATAATCTCTCTGCTGCCGAAGTGATGGGTTTGGACAGTTCTTTTCTAATAATATCATTTAATAGTCTTTTTTTTTATATATGTCTAAATTTGACTGTATTTGAATTGTACCCCTGCTCAGCTACTCCTTTTCACATAATTGCTGACAGGCGTGCTACATGATTGATTTAGTTATCAATATGGATCGCTTGCGAAAGTTTTGCCATGGCAAAGAATCAGTTGGGAAAAAACCCCAGATCCTATGATTTTAAAAGTCGAGTCTATGACAAAACATAAACAATTCTATTCATATCAAACGCCTGGTGCAGAGATTTTTTAAAAACTTTAGTAATTCTGCATGTCTTATTTCCATTCCTAGATTTCTATGCATTTTAATTGTTCTCCTTTTCATCCTACTGGTTAATTTTCTGCTTAATTTGAAGGATATTGTAATGTTCTTGTTATTTTGCATTTGGTTTGGCATTTCATGTGACCTTTCAGGTATGAAGTTCTGATAGAAAATCTGATGGACCCTGCTCATGTACCATATGCACACCATAAAATACTGAGAATTCCGGAGCGTCCACCATCGCTTACCAGATAAGTACTCAGTAACTTGATAATGTTCTTTGCACGATATTGTCCACAAAGTTTCTTCTGGAGCACTCTCTTTCTCTTGTTTAAGGAGTAGTTAATATAGGTGCAATTTTGCTCTTTTAATAAAATTATTTCTTTAACTTTTGAATTTATCAATCACTGACATGTGCATCCTACCTTCAAGAGGCTATAATATACTTGAATTTGCTGTGAGCTACCAACGGACAACTAATTTTTCTTAGTTCTTTGGTTAGAATACTTTACTTCCAAGTTGAAACAAAATTTATTCGGGATTCAGAAGTTTGCAATCCTAATGCTATATTGATATTACAAATATAATATATTCCTTTTTTTGTTTTTCTCAGAAGTTTGAAATCCTAATGCTATATCAAACTCCTAATGCTATATCCGAGGAGGTGGTAGTGCTCCGGCTGTATCCTACTTTGAGGCGGTCATTGTATCTCCCCTTTTTTCCTTCTCTCTTCGTCTCCTCCGCTTCCTTTAGCCCCCGACCATCCCCCAACCGCTTCCCCCCTTGCGCTGCTTTCTGCTGTAGCAATCTGCTGTCCAGCCCGTTTGGACCTCTCTCGGCATCCCACCGACATCCCTACAGCAGTTATGTTGCCCTTGCTGTCCAGCACATTCTAGCCACTAATTCCCCTACCGCCGGCCACCTACAACCCTCCATACTTGCTTTCCTCTCAATTCAACAGCATTCCCTAGCTGTCATCAGCACTCACTTGCTGCCAACCATCCTGAACCACTAGTCGACCACCACCACCCTTGGAATACACCTTCGAGGTGTTTGTTTGTGTCGGTTTATGTTTTAGTGATGTTATTTTCAGTTTGAGTGTGTTGTAACCCTATTTCCATATTAATAAAAATTATTCTTGTGGATTGGGTCTTTCTTCTCCTGTATCATTTGATATCAAAGCTAGCCCAACCCTAGTCCCATTCTAGGGTTTCCTAGCATCTGACCCAATCCAAACCCTAACCCCACCAAAATTTTTCTTTCTTATTCCTAAATCTTAGCCATGCCACTAATAAGATACTTGCCCAAGCCTACCTGGTAGGATATACAACGAGAGATCCGCCGACTACAACAGTGGATTACGAACATAGAAGATTACCCTAGACCGGGATTCAAAAGGTTGAAGAGGGGAAGGGGAAGATATGAAGATAAAGCAGAAAATACAACGCTAGTTCCTACCAATTTACTATCGCTAAAAGTCACAGACTCTAGTTTCCAAAGTGGAGAGACCGCATCACCAAGCGACCCCCCTTGCTACCATCCAACAAAACTAATCTACAAAATTATCACAGCCAGAAAATGTTGCAAGTGCCACTGCTTTGGACATAGCAATAACAACAACAACAAAATCTTTATCCCACTAAGTGGGGTCAGGTACATGAATCCTTTTCTCCATTGCGTCCTATTTAGTGTCATATTTTAATTTAATCCTAATAAATTAAGATCATTTTTTATACAATATGCCCAAGATGAAACAAAATGCACAACTAGGGGAGTGATCTACTTTACCGAGCAGGGTGTCATCAAAAAGTTGGGTAACGACACCGTAAACATTGAAGTCGGCGAGAACATAAATGAGGAGAACCAGCTTTCAGTTGAAGAGATAAATAACGATCCGGAAAGTGACGCAGGCCTCAAAGTGGATTCACAATTGTCAGCAAAGAAGGAAGAGACGTCACCAATTACAATTGACCCCGAAATAAAGATTTTGGCTGAGGTAACAGTAGCTGTTCGGGAAGATAGTGACCTTGATCTAATATGCATTCATGCAAAGAATGTAGCTTGAGCTATTGTTTCACAAATTGTGAGAAAAACATCAGCAAGACTAACTGTGGATATCCAAAAAGGGCATGAATTTGAGGAGCCGACCTTAGATTCAAAACCATCACAGATCTGAGCATTGCATATTTTTTTAGATGTATAGACCCCTTCCTGAGTTACACTTATTGAGGGAGGTCCAATATGTCAAAAGTGGGGTCATTTTGTGTCATGTCAGATATATTACAGGGGATTATTCGGAGGTTGTTTTCAATCTAGCTTGGTATCCATCGTCAGATGTCCTGACGGAATAGGTGAATCTCAATTTTATAATGTCCCTAGGAGCTTGATTGGGACAAAAATTCTTCAATGGGATCCAGGTTATATCGGTAAAGAGGAGGTCTCTCCTGAGCAGGTGCTACTGAGTGGGGTGCATTCAGCCACAACTTTTACCCCAACATTGATCTCTCCTCCCATACCAGCTCCTCATCTGCACTCTGCCGATTGTGAGGAATGGAAGAAGCAGGTTACCTCTGGAATGGCTCAATTCCTGAGTGTGAGAATACTCATCTACCTACAATTCAAACTCAGGGCATGCCAAAGGTGGACGGATAGTTATTCTACCAAAATGTGTTTTGAAGCGACAATATCTACAAGATTGATCCACCTTGGGACTGCAACATTTTAGCCACGTTCAATGTTGCAGATCTGACAACGTACTTGAGGATCTGGAAGCTTCGGCAAATGAGTTTGAAGCTCCCCCAACTTTGGGAGACTGCGCTGGGCTTTGGAGAGGAACCGGCCAATCTTTAGGGGGGAGGGCCGCCGAACCCCCTTTTTCCTTCTTCCTTTCCCACCTTTCATTTCTTCCTATTCCCTCTTTCCTTTTCCAATCTTTCCTTCCTAAAACTTGTCAATTCTGAATTTCTGCTATTTTTACTAGTCTTTGCCTATTTTGAATTCTTCCTATTAAAAACATTGTTTGAATTATGAATTATTTTTTGTTATTATACTATCTCTTTAAAACATTGCCTCTTATAAATCCTTGCCTATTATATTCTATTTCATAATTAAAAGCATCGCTTAATATATAAATCTTAATCCCTCTTATTTATAACGGTTGTTTTGCTTTGTGGAGGAGGTCCTGTTTTTGATATATGAATTCAAGTTTTATCTTAGAGTTTTCCTTTTCGAGGGTTGTACCCGACTTCGAGGAGCTACTCCGGCCGTCTCTCGTTTGAGGTGGCGATCGTCTCCAAGGGTTCGAGTTGTACTCCGACTGTATCTTGACCCCGCCGATATATTTATCTGTCTGTTCGTCCTCCCTGCACCCCTGCAGGTCATTGTCCAGCCCTCTCCTACATCTAACAGGTCGTTGTCCTCTACTTTCTTGTTGATACCAGCCCACCTCCCAACCCTTCAGCAGGCCGCCGCCACTCCTTCCCTCAGCTCAACAAAATCTGGCTACTTCCCAGCCCGCCAAATCACCTACAACTCCTCCCCGCACATTTGCAAATTGCTGTCCAGCCCTCTTTTGCAGCCAGCGCTGCTGTCCTCAACTTTTCTGCCTTCCCAACTGCTGTCCCGCTACTCCCAGTTGTTGTCCAACCTTCTCGGCTTGCTACCCCACCTTCCTAACAAGCTCAAACGCCCTTGGGATACACTCTCGAGGTGTCCGTTTGTGTTGTTTTGTGCTTTTGTGATGTTATTTTCAGTTTGTGTATGTTGTAGGCCTCTTTTCCTTTTAATAAAAGTTGCTTTTGTGGTTTGAGCTTTCACCTCAGGTATCATTTGGTTAGAGTGGCGTAGTTTGCCACAAATTTCATTCCATAATTGAGTTCTTCTCACATACTTATTACTCAATCACCGCACGCTAGAAACGAGAAGTGAAATGAGAAGATTTCAAATGTAAGGACTTAGGAGTTGCATTATGGGAACCCCAATCTATATGCAGCTCCTGCTTAGAATGTGCTCAAAGAAGATGACTACCTATTCTACTAGAATGTGTTTTGGAACCATAGTGCCTATTGGATCAACCTACTAGGACTACAGTTAAGAATTTTTCTGTCCTGAACTGAATGGCTTGGGCGAGGTTTCTAACGGGGCTAGCGGCCTCCCCCGCCCCTCTCTTGCTTCCTTTTTCGCTTCTTCTCCTTAGGAAGGATTTTAATGGCTATTCTAAGTATTCCCACCCCTTCCTTTTGTAAGTGTTTCCTATCTTCCACTTTTCTTTCTCCTCTTCTTTCCTTTCTTGTTTCACGTCTAGCTAGGGCTATATGTATGCTAGTTTGCTAAGAGTCTAAGGAGTTTTTTGCTATGCATTGATTACAGATTTCCTGTGTGGATTCTTTTTCCTTGTTCTAAGGTTATATCCGAGGAGGTGGTGGTGCTCTGGCTATTTCTTACTTCGAGGTGGTGATTGTATCTCCCATTTCTGCCTTCCCTACTTCTTCTCCTCTGCTTCCTTTAGCCACTGACCATCCCCAACCGCTTCCCTCCTGCACTGTCGAGCCCGTTTTTGCTGCAACAACCTGCTGTCCAGCACGTTCAGGCCCCTCCCGTCATCCTATCGGCACCCCTACAGCGGTTACGTTGCTGTCCCAGATCTTCTCCATCGCTGCCCGTGCTGTCCCAAATCTTCCCATCGCTTCCCTTGTCGTCCAGCACCTTCCAGCCACCAATCCCTCTGCCTCCGGCCACTTACAACCCTCCATACATGATGCTTTCGCAATTCTGCACCCTTCCCTAGCTGCCATTAGCACTCCCTTGTTTTCACCATCGTTGCCAACCATACTGAACCACTTAGACAACCTTCACCATCCTTGGAATACATCTTAGAGGTGTTTGTTTGTGTCGGTTAATGTTTTAGTGATATTATTTTCAATTTGAGTGTCTTGTAACCCTATTTTTATATTAATAAAAGTTGTTCTTGTGGTTTGGGTGTTTCTTCTCCGCTATCATGCACACAGGACAAACTACTTGAACGTAAATTTGCATGAAATTGTAAGTCACAAGTCACTAAGATTGGTAAAATAAGTAGAGAGATATCATGAAGGGTATAATCACAAGTCACTAAGGCTGTTTTCTTAGATTGAAAGTTTTGGAGGCATAACCTAAAATATGAAGACCAAAAGTAGTTTACATAACTTAAGAACACGACTAAAAAGTAAATTAAATCCTGCCTTAGAGCCTTATACAAATGTTTCCTTATTTTTAAAAAACGCAACTTTTGAATCTCCACAGATCGAGAAGGAGGGATTCCGTTGGATATAACAATTGAGAAATTTCATATCAACGGCTACCTTGCAAAGCAACAATTTGGATATGGCAAATTTGTCGCCCCTTGCCTGTATTATTCTTCACCGCCCTCAGGTTCAAGTAATGGATCCGTTTCATCTTCAAATAGCCAAACGGTAGTTATATATGGTGTTTTCGCATTTTTATTTATGGTGATTGTTATTCTTCCCTCTTCTTTTAAATTTGCTTTACTTTGTTTTCAATCAGATGCCCACACATAGTTTTCTCAAGCGCCAGCGGAGAGCTCTTCTCGTTTTCTTTTGCATTCCTGTTAGTCCTGGAAGAAGCAGAGTAATTTTTGTCTTTCCAAGAAATTTTTCTTTGTGGATTGATCTAATTGTTCCACGTTGGATTTTTCATGTGGGACAAAATTTGGTTCTTGATTCCGATCTGCACCTTCTACATCTAGAGGTAAAACGAAATTCTCATTATTGAGCTCTGGTTTGACATTATCAATATAGAACACAATTTAAGTTCGCTTTGCCTTATTTTTCCAAGAGGATCGATCACCCAGATATAGGGATTTTTTTCTTCTAGTAGAAATCTCAACTTAATTGAAACATGGAGGCTAACTAGCATTTGAAATTTAGGGGCTCTGTGTCTTGGCCTTTAAAATTCCATGTCCTGCCTTCCACATTGATGATTAGGTTAGGATTTGGAAGTCCCATATAACCTGTACTTTAGCTAAGATGGGAAAAGGTGTGAATACCACATTAGCTAAATGACTTTTATCATTAGTATATGTCTGCTCCTTTCTAGGTATAATGCATTAATCATGAGTTTTTTTATGTCCATAAGATATGTGCTGCCACTCTAGTCCTGTTATATTTTAGTTCTAGTTCTTTGGCAAGTTTGGTTAAGGACTCGAGCCTGAACAGTCTTTTTGATGTGGTATTTAGATCCTTTTTCGCTGTATATGCGTGTGTGTGGGTGCATCTGAATGTGTGATCTACTTGGTCTGTTAAAAAACTGTAAAACAGCTGCCACAAATTTGGATTTTATAGAGCGTGTTTTTATGCAACTCCTTTTGCATTGTTGCATCTTAGCCTGGTTGTTTTTTATATTTGGAACTTCTAATTTATTAAATTTGTAGATTGTTGTCTTAGAAACTGAAATAATAAGTTCTGAAATTATAAATGTTAGTTAATTTGCTACTATGGATAATGCGGAGGACTGTTGAAATCTATACATTTCTATTATGAATACACTGTAATATTGATGATACATAAATGCCTGTGAATCTCCAGGGAGGTGTTGACATCATTTTTGGTGAGGTCTTTCTTTCCTCTTAGTGCTTAGGATCTAGCTATTGGGCTTTCCCTTTGACTATCCTAGAAGAATAGAGATGGAACCTACCTATATAGAAATTCAAACCACATCCTAGTTCTCTTCGAAACACTACGTAGCTGGTCATAAACCTCCAGCACTTTGAAGGTTAGGACTAACTTGTGAGAATTCGAGGATGAGTTCTTATAGAGTTTAGAAGCCTCAGGAACACTCATTACAACTTTCGTACGTTCGCGCACGAATATCACGATTCGGACCGTCGACACGTTAAGTATTGCAATTCACGCCACCTATGTTTTTATATGCTGCATAATTAATTGAAACTTAAATAAAATTTTGAAACGGTCAATCGTAAACCAAAATTTTGACGAAAATTAAATTTGATGCATTTTTGACCCGTTCGTCGACGAGGTTGTCCAGGTGACCCCGAACGACCAAACGAATCACGCGAGTGCGTCTGGAATGTCGATTTCACTTAGGGATGACGTTCGTTTCGCCACGGCTTCGCGGACTGGTTAAAAATACTTAAATTATCATTTTTGGAAAAGTAGTCTGAACGACTCCAAATGACGAAACGGACTCCACGATCGCATTTGGAACGTCGATTTTACGTAGGATGGGCATTCATTTCACCACAATGCCAAGTTCGAACGAATAATACACAAATGATGATTATAATATTATTATTGTTATAATAATATAATATTACTTTTATTATTGATTATCTTACGCATGCAGCTATCCAAAAAAAATCCTATCCTATTAAATGCACCGCACGCTTCCCCCGTTCTCTCTCTATCTCTATCTCATCTCACGCATGGGAGATTTTTTTTTTATCACATCTCTCTCTCTCTCTCACGCCTCTCATTCTTCCTCCTATAAAAAACATCCCCCACTCACTCTTCTCTACATATAGCAGCAGCCCCATCCTCCAAATCAACATCTCCCCTTAATGCAGCCTCCCTTTCTCTCCCTTCTTTTGCTTCCTCCTCTGGCGAACCCCCTACAGCGAGCTTCTCTCCGATGAACTCTTCCCGCCGGTGAGCCTCGGTCAGGTAAGCCCCTCTCCCATCTTCTCTTCGTCTTCTTCTTCGCTTAACGCAGAGAGAACCAAGAGAGCAGAAAAAAAAGGTAACTTTACATACATACCACCCAATTACTTTATAATTGCACAAAAAAAAGGAGGATTTACATATATACCACTCAATTTCTGTATTTGCACAAATAAAAGAAATTAAAATTTACATAAATACCATTCAATGTTTTTTTATTTACAGCAAAACAAAAAGAAAGAGGGGAATTTTACATGGATGCCACACAATTCTTATTTATTTGTACAAAAATTTTTACATACATACCATCCCATGCCTACCAATTTGCATGCAAATAAATTTACTCACATACCATCCATTTCCTACGCATACAGGAAAATTTTACTTAAACCACCCAGCTTTTATGTATTAGGAAAAAAAAAAAAGATTTACATGCTTACCACCTTTTCTCATATATTTACATTTTCACCACCTTATTCTCATATCATTACATGCCCAACCCCTAGGCTTGTTTAAAAAAAAAAAAGGAAAAATTTACATATATACCATTAATCCTTCTGTACTTCCATGTCTAATTCCTACACTTTTGTAGTTACACGCATGCTGCTTAATTGTTACGTGTTTACACATTTAACACCTAAAGTTTCATATCCACATGCATACCACACTAGTTCTCGCGCATGCTTTACATCTCACATATTTCCGTACATACCACCTCGTTCCCATGTATTTACACATCTACTACTCAAATAATGGATGTTGGCACGTTTACCACCTAAATAATGAAAGTTTTAGGTTACCATTCAAATCATTAATAATTATATCCTAACCACTTACTTCCATGCATATAGAATTTTTCTCGGATTTACATGTGTACTATCTAAGCTTTTATATTTTCACATCTAACACCCAAACTTTGTTATTTACATGCGTGCTACTCGATCTTTTTTTATGAACTTACATATTCACCATCTAAAGTTTCATATTCACGTGTATGCGTCATAATTTTTTATGGATTTACATGTCTAATATCTAAACTTCGATGATCTTTATGTGTGTCGTTCGAACATGTCCAAAAAAAAAAACTCAGACTTGTTAGGTGCAAAACAACATAGGCTTCGGAGAAGATGAGATCGACGTGACACCGACGTGGATAAGTAAGAAATTAAGGGGTATTTCTGATTTAAATAATTACAGAAACTTTTAAAAATTCATAAATTTGTGTAGAAGAATATTAAAAATAAAATAAATATACCCCATTGAAAAAATTTTATTTTTGAACTAAAATAATTTTGAAAAATAAAATAAAAATAAATAAATAAAATATACAAACTCTTCTCTTGTAATTTAATTAACCAATGAATAGCAGTTTCAACAAATTTTTTTTATAGTTATTTGGATTAAATTAAAGGAATTCTGAAGTTAAAAACCCCAAGGATAAAATGGTGATTATGGAATTTTGAACCCCAATAAAATTTTAGGTCAAACCAAAGGGTTAAAGGGTAATATTGATCATAATTGACTCTCTAAGACGACTGAAACACAAAGGGTTAAAGGATATGAACAAACTCATTAGAAACCAACTCATGATATTTTCTAAAAAAGGGGTAAAAGTGTAATTTCTCTAATTATTGAGGGTTGGAAGATGATTAAGTATGGAAGATTCTCAAGTTAGGGGCTTGAGAAAGGAAGACAATAATTAACTAACTTGAAGCCCTGAATTAATGGTTAAGCATTTTATAATTTTTAATAAGGATTAACGTTACTTAATTTTTAAAATTACAAATTTATCCTTAATAATCTAAGAGTTTAGTAGCGAGCTAAGATCGATCTGAAACTATTTAAAGGGATTAGAAAAGAAAGAATATAGTTTGTCATACGCACCACAAGCTCAAGTTCAATTAAGAAAGAGTAAAGTTTTCTTCAGTAATCAAACTCACTCTTGGGACGATCACCCATTCAAGCACCGAACAAAATAGCTGCTAGCCTACTTATGGGTTAATTAAGATATATTAAGCACAACTTAAAAGACATTAATTCAATTCAGATGGTTTAATTAATAGTCTAGCAAGACCAAAATGAACTTAAAATGATCTAGAAGATTTCAAGTTTGTTTAAAGTAATTCTTTGGACATTTTAAAGAACATTTGGGTCTGTCATGATTTGCTGAAGAAAATCATTCTGAAAACACAAACGATCATTGAAAATCAGATGAACCTCTAAGGACCCACCAAGTTATGGTTCAGGACCTGATAATTCACACAAATGAATAGAAATACCTCAAACTACTTACCCTACATTAATAACCCAATGCTCAAGGATTTAAGTCTTCCCTAAGGTAATTAAATCCTTGTGAGCGAATGGGGATATTTTTTTGTGTCATTTATGGATCATTGGACTGATGTAAGTCTGAGGTTCAGGTGGTAAGGGTGATGACGATAATGCTTATGTGTGCTAAAACAAGGGATACGACGTTGGATTTTAGAATAGTATCTCTTACCTTAAGGACCTTTAATAAAATAAGATGATAAAAATCGTTGATACTATTCGATGACAATTGAGAAGATGATTGCCCCTGATACTCTTAGGTTGTCTGTAGTCCTAACTCGATTAGATTGATTAACATGTGGATTGCACCTCTCTACAAAATATTTTAAACAAGTCTATTTTGCATGATAAAATTGTAGTTGCACGAAAATTAAACTCAAATGAAGATTTGTAAAGGTCCACAGTTAATTACTTGGATCGAGATTAGGACTGCCCTTCGTAGATGATCGGGTTGGTAGCTATTTCTTAAGGTTGGCAAGCACACAGTCCAACTCCGAGCCCCCTACCCATGTCTTATACCCAGTTCTAGTTTTTCATATGTGAATATGGGTTTTCTTTTTACTCGGGTTTTGCCACGACTCAGTTTCCGACTTTTTCGTGTCGGATGCTACTTCTCTGCAATTTATTTAATTCCTGCAAATATATTCTATTTTATGATGCTAACCATGCAGTGGGAGTAGCGAGAAGATGACGAGTATGCATTTATATTTTATGCACTGCAATTTTATTTATTTACTTTACAACATCTTTTTTTTTTACCTGCATTTATTTACCTTGCTTGTAAAACTTTTTAAAACTGAAAATTACAAAACTATTTTCAAAATTAAACAATATTTTCAAAATACAACAAGAAAATAAAAACTTCATAAGACGTCATCTTGAATGTACGGCGGTCCCTCGGATGAGGTAACCCACTGTTTCTAACGATATTTCCTCAATTTAAATGAGCTTAACAACTCATTTAGGTTAAATAAATTCAAAAGAAAATAGTGGTATCGGAACGAGGGAACCGTGAGATCCTAACCGGTGTCGTTCTAATCAACTTCTAATCAACTTCTAATCAACTTTAACCCCCCATAACACTTGAACAACAAAACTTGACGTGGAAACCGTAAAACTTTTTGAACCTTAGACCTTAGGACTGTCTCTTCAATAACGAGCTTGCAGCTAACACCGTGGGTAGCATGACAAGAATGTGCAGAAGATCGACTTCGAGAAAACAAGCAGATCTACATAAGCAACTTTTCTTAGAATTAAATACCGAGTCATAGGATTTCGAGGTTGTCTGTCTAGTGCGACATAAATCTTCAACTTATCTTTTAGGCTTTTATATAGTCATGTTATGCAATTTAAGCCCTAACTAGCTTTAGGTTCTGAGATCGTCGTTCGTTACGACGTAAATTCTCCTATCTTTCAGATTATTTGTATAACCGTGTCATGTAAGTATAAGTCCTAAATAAAAACTGACTGGATGAAATATCATGTAATATCATTTCTAAATCAAAACCAAACAACATGATAGATTGAGAAGTCACCGAGGTTCTTCTCGAATTAGTGACATCTTCTACCTTTCATTCATTTGGATTCTTGAAAATAATTGTTTCTATTTGATTTATTCCTTTTTTTGATTTTCCAATGTCTAATCTTGAAAACTTAAACTTTGAAATTCTTGAAGGCAAAACCACTGATCTGAATCGAGAGTATTCTTAAGCGACTTCGGTTATATAGGGGTTTGCTTCTATATGGAACATTGTAACTGAGCTTAATATAAATTTTATTTAGTCTTTTATATTAAATAGGGGATTTTGTCGGTCAACATGAACGGTTTCGCAGACCAGCACGAATCTCATAGATTCTATAGTTTATTTAATCGAGTCTTACCATCAAACAATATGTCCATTCCTTAGAATAGATGCATCGTTTGCGGTGTTGTGCTCGTTTATTTAAACTATTAAATATATGAGATCGGTTTGGTCTCGTTACTTTTCAAAATTTCAAAACTACCAACATCATGTTTGGTGGCCGATAGGAGGCTTTTGGAAGTTAAGTTGATTATATCTTCCATTATTTTGACATTTGAGAATGAAGGATTCGACCGCGAGATTTAGTTTTGCTATGCTATTGTGTTTTCAAATTCCCTTGATTGATTATCAATGGAAATATAAATGCTAATTTGTAATATCAGATTTTGTTTTAAACGTTTTAATTTCGGCATTTTCTTTTCATTGAAATCCACACTAAAAAGCAACCATATTTTCCCAGTTTTATGATAATGATATGGTTTCATCAACACGGAAAATATTATGAAAAATTAGTTCCTACTTGCTTCTTTGTTGTTTTTCGTGATTATCTTGTAATAATATGATGCTTGTGATCATTCAAAATGGATTCATGTTTCATTGGTTCTTGATAAAAATGTTGATTAATAGGAGCGCAAGATAGCTGAGATTGGCCCATCCAATTGGCAAAAAGCTTGTTTTGTGCCCACGAAATCGGATGCAAAAGTCACTGCTTTCAGAAAATGGTTAAGAAGATATTCAAACAGCCAGATTCACTGGCCAAATAAGTTCGGGAACTTTCTTCCTCCAACTCCCCCCAAAGAGCAGCTTTTGGACAGGTATGTTTCAAAATTTTAAAATATGCTGTTTACTGAAAAACTACTGTCTTCGTATGGTTTGAGAGACTTAGTTAAAAAGGAAAGGAATCACAAATAAAATCTGGAGGCAATGAAATACTGAAGCAAATGGGTTTCAAACTTATTTGATTGCGAATAAAAATTTGGTATGTTAACACACAGGAAATTTTAAAATTTGGTATGTTGAAATATTGAGGGATTCTAGACATGAGATTTCCATCAGATTCATCTCTTTTTCTCTCGGGTTGAGTGAACACTCGAACCCAGTGCCTTGGGGGCCATTTGGGATCCCTTTTGTTTTTTATTTATGATTTTTTTTTTTTTTTGTTAATATTTTGATTTGAAATAAAATTTGTTTGGCTATTTGATTTAAGTATGAGTATTTTCAAAAACATATTTATTTGCTTCTAAAAATAATATATATATATATATATATATATATATATATATATATAAAAAAAACACCTGAATGAACTGGTTTTTTATTTAAAGTAAAATAAAAGTACTCACATTCATTTGTATTTCTAATTTTGGTTTAACTTAACAAGCGAGAAGGGAAAATAAATTATTGTTTTCATTTCACTGTATTGAGTACTTCAAACCAAAAGCGCCTCTCTGAAATTATTATGCCGACTTCTTTCAGGTATTGGTCGCATGTTGTGCACTGCAGCAGCTGTAGTTTGGCTTTAAAGCGGCTGAGAATTCTGGAGTTTTCTCTTCCAGTTGTTTCAGTGGCGTTGATTGGCTTAGTGGCTGCTGCCAAACAAGAAGTGATGCTTCTGTCAACAAGAACTGCACTCGTCGCCATGGCCTTGGTCTGCTTTGCAGCTTCCAGGTGGCTCTCTCACTTCATCTACAAAACATTTTATTTCCATGACTACAACCATGCTTTCGTCTGATGCAGAACCTTCAATTACCTCGTATCTCTTTTTCAAAGATCAAGTATTATTTGTGCATAAAATATAACAGTATTGTTAAAATAAAAATGATAGGAATATATGCAAAAGGAAAATGAAGTTTTCTGTATGGCTAAGAAGTGTCTGACTTGGACACTTAATAAATTGATTATTGGGGATAATACAAACAGAGCTCTTAAGAAAATAGCTTTGTTCATGTGAGATTAGGCGGTGGCCTGGGAACTAGCAAAAAAAAAGATCAAACACAGTTTTTTGGGACTTTTACATACCTAGCACACAATTCTTATGTATTTACATTTCTCACACCTAAACTTTCATATTACGCACATAGCGCTGAAGTCTTTAATATCGCATTAAAAATAGTACTATTACCCCTTTTTAATGGTGAAATAAGTATTTTCATGCATAGGTTTTTCATGCTATGTATGTAAATATGAAAGTTTGGGTGTAAAATATGTAAATACGTAAAATTGTGTGCTAAGTATGTAAATTTCCCTTTTTTTTTTTTTTTAATTTTTATGACTCCTTGTTTGTATTTTTTATCATTATTATCCTCACTCTAAATCAATCATTAGTGATAGCTTATTGCTTTAGCTGTAGAGTAATGCTTTATCCACCCAAAATTTCAATATGATCAACATAAAAAAAGCACAAAAATTCGCATTCAAATGTGATGCAGGATGGTTTAATGTCAAGAGTTTATTGTCCCAATTAAATTATGCAGTGTGAATCATAGATCACCAACTATATTTAGTGATATCATGCCATTTATAGTAAACAATATATATATATATATACATATATATATATATATATATATAT